CTTTGTTGAGAAAAAGTGACAACATTATCTGAATGAGGTGCTTATATACAGAATCAGGATAGAGGGTATATTGACATAGGTGGAGAGTGTCATGAGACAAATGTCACCAAGTGCAGTTAAGTAGGGTATAAAAGACTGGGGCAAGCGAGAAAAAATCATACCAATGCTTATATGGGCAAAGGAAGAAACCCTGGCAGTCAGGTTATAGCTTTAGAGTGAGGAGAGATATGTATGTTTTGGAAGATAAAATTATTTTTGTACACTTGTGTAAAATCATAACTAAATACCACAATTATTTATGTTGTGTAAGCTAAAAAAGGTTGTTGTTTTTAAGTTTTTTAATTACATAATAATATTTAAATAAGCTCTTTTCATAATTTCTACTTATTTTTCAGTATTAATAAAGGTTATATAGTAAATTTGTTTTCATTCTATTCTAACCAATATAATTTGACTTGCTAAGACTACTGCATTTGAAATACATTTGACCTTTATTATAAGTAAACTCGGTATTAAAGAAAAATTAATCAAAATGAACTGTTGTTTTTGGATCTTAGAATTCAATTTGAAATAAAGAGAACAGCTCACCCAACATCAATCCCATATGATTCTACTTTATGATGTGAATTAATTAGAATACCAGTAATATTATGCTACAAAACAAACTTGTTAATGACTATTTTTTTATATCATATCATGACTATTTGTATAATTGAGTTTACAGTCCTGTATTGTAATAACTTTTTTACTCAAACTATCCACAATTGTATCTTAATCCAAACTCCTTAAATACTTAATTAAAAAAATCTGCATCAGGGAGAAAAAAGTGGTTCTGAATAGCAATATAATAATAAATAAAAGATTAATACTGTATTTTCATGAACAAAAATGGAAAACATATACAAACTGGTTGACAGTATACTTTATTTTTTGTTTATTTTCAAATAAAACAGTTACAGATGACCATGTATTTAAAAATGTTTCATTTCCAGTAGAATTAACAATTTAATCCTGTCCCATTTTTTAACACAGAGATCAAAACAAATACTTCTGATACGAAATAGAGGAACAAATATTTGGTAAAGTTAGTATTCTAATATTTGGCCAGATTTTAAATGAGAAGCAATCAGAAATACTGTATAATACTTAATACCAGCAGTCACTTGACAAAACTAATATCTAAGGCACAAATTACTCAAAGTGCAATAACTTCCTTTAGAAACAACTTTCTATCTTAGTTTTGAACTAATGACATCATTAGTTAATAAATAAGATTGGAGCTTCTCACTTTCTGTGTCCCAAGAAGTGAGATAATTTTTAATTTAAGAGAAATACATAAACAATACTGACTGGCTATACTGATAGCTCAAGTATATACTTTTAAGTAATAAAATCTTTATAAGAATTAGGTATATGATTAAAATTTTCTATTATAAGATTCAGTAACAAATAAATCCAAGTACTTTGACACTAATGAAGAATATTAGATCAGGTAAAAATAATGTTCTATGATCAAAATTGGTAACAAATAAACTTAAGTACTTTGACAATAATGAAAATGATAGATCAGGTAAAACTCTGCTTACTTTGCTTATGAAACAAAAAAGCTGCACAATGGTACAACTTTTCTGTACCCACAATAGGGATAGAACCCTAAATTATAGCATTATAAGCCTTCAACCTTACTTCTGAGCCTCTAGCAAGGGGGCAGGTAAAACTCTGCAATATTGGTTTAATTTAAGGGGTTGAGATTGGCTCTGCAACTGTAACATTAATAAAACATGATCACTACACTTGAGAATATTTTATCACATCTAACAGACAAGTGCACCACACTCCACCAGCTAATACAAAACATTTAACTAGATTATGTTCCCTAGATAAAAACTGAATGTAATAACAAAGTATTCCTTATGATTCAGGCAACAAGTCCAAAATATTACATAATGTAACATGAACCATTTTCTATTGCAAGTCTTCTAAGTTTTAAATACACAGCATCTTGATGCATAATAAAATTGAAGCAAGTCATAAAATAGAATAAAGGTGAAAAGATGATAATGCGATGATCAATTTGTTTTACAACTCAAGAGTTGGAACAATACACCTATTTAAATGTTTAAAAGTATTAAAAAGTAATTTATTATTTGATTTCAGCAAAAATTACAACAGAATTAAACAAATATTGGTATTAAATATCTTATATGAATGAATTCAATTTAATTTATTTCTTTAAAGTGACTTGAAAACTTTCAAATATCAAAATAATCTTAATTTGATGATGGACCATCAAGAGAGTAAAAGCTTGTTCCTAAAAACTAGGTAATCAACACAAAAAAAAACATTGTCTGACTGTCCTTCTTAAACAAGAATCCACATCTAAATTATTAACATCTCGAGTCATATTCAAACTTTTGAAATTGGATAAAAAAACAAACTACAGAAAGTAGTTGTAAACATGTTATAAATGTAAATTAGACAAACCCATTTTATTAACATGATATCAGATTTGCTTGTAGAGATCTAGTCGTGTTTTATAATTGCAAACAAGCTGGCTGGATCAATACAGGTACTCAATGAACACTATTGCATATCAGTATTTCATGTACGTTAGTCTACCTTACTGCACACCAGTATTTAACAAATACTAGTCTACTCTGCTGCACACCAGTATTTAATTAATACTAGTCTACTCTGCTGCACGCCAGTATTTAATAAATACAAGTTTACACTACTGCACGCCAGTATTTAATAAATACTAGTTCACACTACTGCACGCCAGTATTTAATAAATACTAGTTCACACTACTGCACGCCAGTATTTAATAAATACTAGTTCACACTACTGCACGCCAGTATTTAATAAATACTAGTCTACATTAAGGCATGCCAGTATTTAATAATAACAAGTCTACACTACTGCACACCAGTACTTAAGAAATACTAGTCTACTCTACTGCACACCAGTACTTAACAAGTATTAGTCTACTCTACTGCACACCAGTATTTAATAAATATAAGTCTACACTATTGCACACCAGTATTTAATTAATACTAGTATACACTACTGCACACCAGTATTTAATAAATACTAGTATACACTGCTGCACACCAGTATTTAATAAACACTAGCCTACACTGCTGCACACCAGTATTCAATGAACAACAAGACTTTCCCACAAAATATTATTACAGAAAACATGCATAAAAATTACAAAATAAAACCATTAGTTCAAAATTAGTATCAAAAACAGCTCATAATCCCCCAGCTCTTGAATGGTATAGGCATTGTATACAATTAATCCAATGGAAACTACATGTATCTTTTGTAATTTTTAATAGTTTAATATAACTTTTTACTACTTCAACACAAGCATGTTTACAATACCAGAATGCTGCAGCAATAAAAACTACATCTGTAAAAATGTTACACTTTTGTTTATTACTTTTAATTAATTGGGCATTGCTCAAGTATAAAGTCAGTGTTTCTAACAATCAATAGAAGAAACTTAAACTTTTAAATTTCTAGACTAGATACAACATAAGCTGGTAAAGGCTTTATTGACAGCCCAAAAATGACCCATGAAACTATTGCTGGAGAAGTTTAAAAGATGATCACTTAATTTACTTTTAGGTATCTTTCTGAACTGCTCATATAAATTCTTAACTATGTGAGGCAAACAGTAATTTCTTATCTTTACTTTAATACAAAACTTTACTTGTACATTTACATTGCCATCTATGTTTGGGAAGAAATTACTGATCTAATTATCCTTTCAATATACAAAACACAGGTGCTATACACACCTATTTTTTAAATAAAACTACAAAAACATTACTTTCAAAGTCTTTAACACTATTACTTTCACAGCAAGGCCGACATTTATTAAAAGGAACTATTATATTATATTTAAACTTGCATCATGTAGAGACAATTATTTTTATAATGAATATATATCTTCTGATTTTTGTAAAATTTTCAAGAATAACCACAACATGGAATTCAAAAAAAACATTAAAAAAAACAAAAATATTGTTGATCATTGTTCTGCCTAGCAAAAAAAGTTTCAAATAATAAATCAATTAATATTATAACTACACAAGTATATGAAATCTCCATGCTTAATTGCTTAACAAATAATGCTAAAAAAATTTTCTTAAACATCATAAAAAAAACAACCATAAAATCAATCACACAATGTATGCAAATAAATACACACAGTTAAATAACAGGTTAACATGATCACATTTTGCCTCAAAAGCCTTTTGTCCTATATAAATAGTAACTACTTTATTTTTATGAACTGAAATATTTACAAACATGTATAAAACTATTATTATTAAAGTAAAGAAAGAAGAGCAAATAGTACCAGAAATTTTACACTGCAAGGTATACATGAAGTAATAGATTTTTCCTTGTCATAAGAATGTATTATTTTTCTTCAGCAAAAAAAAATTCCTTTATCATATAGATTATATACAATCTAGCATTTTTTCCAATTTTTTGAAATCACTACTTACATGGTAACTTTTCACTAACTGCAGATGAAGTGCATATATTGTGAGCTTTTGTTTTATAACCTGTTTTCTATTGAAATCTCACCTATTATAACTATTATTTTTCATATTTAACTTCATAAATACATAAAACAGCATAGCATAAGTTAACACTTTACCATCCATGGACATTATGCTGCATCTATTAGTATATATTAACAGATATACTTTAATTATTTATATTTACCTTACAATAAAGACAAAGTCAACAGTGGTCACTAGTTAAGACAAACAGATATTAAACACGTACTTGAAAAAAATGAGACCAAAAACCTATCACAAAAATCATAGTTTGATAAAGTAATACAAAACATTTTCTTCGCATAAACCCTGATTATTAAAGGTAACAGAATAAGCTTACAAAGAAATACCAAAACATCAAAGTGAAATGTGTTCTATGAATAAGTTAAAAGGGATTTTATATCATATATATATATATCAAACAGATAACTGGAAAAAAAATCTATATCATGGTTTAAATTGTGAATTTGCAGAATAAAGTATATAGACATAAACCTTCTATAAAAAAATGCTTACAATATTGTATATGTATCAAATTGGCCATATAATTAGCTCATACTTTATTTTATCCAACATGTAATTCAAGTTCCTTATGAACAAATAGCCAATTTAAAAACCTTATTTTTGAAAACATCTAATAAGCCATGGTTTTAACTGACTTAGAGCAGTTTGAAACACAGTAATTTAGCATACCTAAAAGAAACTGTTAATCACTGTTAGAAAATCAAGCAGCAAGCATTTTACAGAATCTCAATCAATACTTTGAAGTACACAACATCAAATTGAATCTCTTTCATAACTTTGAGATTTCTATAATATGAACAACACCGAAATGTGGCAAGTTTTTCTGAATTTGTGTCTAATCTCTGGTAATTACTGAGGTAATACAGTATCTTCACAAGTTATACATATCTGTTGTTTTTTTCTGGAGGGGACATGAGAAACATCAAAGAAAAATCTTAAATAATTATAATTTTACAACTTAATTACACAAGTTTAACTTATGGAGAGAAAATATATTACTGTGTGAAGAAAACATACTGTTGACATACACATAATTGTCAATATCTATTACTGCAAAATGTATAATTATCCTGTAACTTTCACTAAATTAAGAATTAAAAGCTTCATCACTATGAAGATGTTTGGGCAATGAAATTACCGAATACACAAAAATTACATTGTAAAGCAATTAATATTGATATTCCTTACCTTCGTTCACTTAATAATACAGTGTAGTAATGCAGAAACACAAGTTAATCTTCACAAGTTTCATTAACACAAAGACAATACTTTAGTAATAACTGCTTATACTTAGACTACTAATTGCTTGCTAATACATTATATTCCATGACCTACAAGTGCAGACTACTTTTATATGTTTTAAATATTCCTGAAGAATAAAGACAAAAAGTAGCATGAAACTTGAGTTGTTCCATTTCATCCACTAGAAGCAAATAAGTCATCAGGTTACTGACTGTTGGTCCTGCAAAATAACAAAGAAAATAAACAATCAAAATGTGTAAAACTGAAGTTTTATCGTTTTACTGTTAATTAAAAAAATTAAGAATAATATTACTTTTGCTTTTTCACAAAGAAATAAAAGTACTTAACCATAGATGAAAGTCAACTAAATGGCAGGACAACTTAAGACCTTTTAAACTTAACCACTTTTTACCTACAAAAGAAAGAACAAAATGAAAGAATAAGCTCAAGTTATTTCCCATAATGCTTCAAGTGACCAATATTTTGTATATGACTTGTATCCAGTAATTGGAAAGAGTTTCAAAACAATTTCTAAAACATTTTCTGTCTTTCAAAAACATTAATATATATTGTAGAATAAATTACATAGTCAGGCCCAAACAGACAATTAATATTAATTTAATAAAATATATATATATATATATATGTTTTTTCTTAGTTAAACTCACAAAGTAATATCAGAATCTAAGCCCTGGTTTTAACTAATTCATAGCAGCCTGTAACAAAGCCATTCAGCATACCTACAAGAAACTGTAAGTAGTTCTTCTCTATCAAGCTTTATGGACAGAGTGAAGTATTATATGATCAAGTATGCAGGGTTCTTCTCTATCAAGCTTTATGGACCGAGTGAAGTATTATATGATCATGTGTGCAGGGTTCTTCTCTATCAAGCTTTATGGACAGAGTGAAGTATTATATGATCAAGTATGCTGGGTTCTTCTCTATCAAGCTTTATGAACAGAGTGAAGTATTATATGATAAAGTATGCAGGGTTCTTCTCTATCAAGCTTTATGGACAGAGTGAAGTATTATATGATAAAGTATGCAGGGTTCTTCTCTATCAAGCTTTATGAACAGAGTGAAGTATTATATGATAAAGTATGCAGGGTTCTTCTCTATCAAGCTTTATGGACAGAGTGAAGTATTATATGATCAAGTATGCAGGGTTCTTCTCTATCAAGCTTCATGGACAGAATGAAGTATTATATGATCAAGTATGTAGGGTTCTTCTGTATCAAGCTTTAAGAACAGAGTGGAGTAGCATATGATACAGTATGCAGGGTTCTTCATCATGCTTTAAGAACAGTCAAGTATCATATGGTACAGTACGCAGGGTGTTTTCATTTTTCTACAGTTTTACTACTTATTTTTACTACTTATTATGTTATTTTTCTGTGAACATCTTAGTTGTAAGTTACAATTTTGAATATTTTACAGTTTCATGTTTTATACTTTTACTTCTTACTATGATACCTCCAAACAAAACACCTTTGAAAAGCAAATTTTCTCCATAAGATTTGGCTTTGTGAGCATTAGCATAATCTTTTAGAAACTGTCTTTGTTATAAGCTGTGCTGATATACTATTTAATATTAAAAACTTTAGAACAGATTATTCAATAAAGTAAAAACTCATTCCAATACAAGTTGTTTACTTACATATAGTTAATGCAGTCAAATGTAAAACAAATTTTCTATCAATCTTTCAGATGTTATTCAACTGTGTTCATTCTGTGGAAAAACATTAAATAATTTTCTAATACATGCAGATCTACAACTAAATTGGATAAAAATAAAAGCAGCTACAACTGTTTCAAAAATGATAAATATATCCTATTAGATCATTTTAGTGCCTGATTTTTTTGCACTTATAAAGTAACCAGTTGTGCCTTATATGCACATAGAAACAAAAAGTATAAAATATATCTAATATTCAAAGTTTACATATCAGGAAAAATAAAACAAAATTTAATAGAAACAAATAAAATCATGCTCTACTGCAAAATGAGACTTAAAAAAATAACTTAAGTAATTTCTTAAAACATAAGTCTCAACATGTAATGTATACCAAATTAGTTTCACATCAATAAAAAAAAAGGTATATTCCTAATGCTTTTAAATATATACCGTTTTAGAAGCGATTTGGCTCCTCCCCGACCTACTCCTGTACTTGAAGTATCTTGCATCATGGAACTGTACATATTAATGGCCACCATCAAGAGGCAGAGAAGCATTGGCCCGAACAGAGCACCTCTAAATCCCAAGCAGAATACCCCACCAGCTATAGCCAGACCAGTAAGGTATGGATGACCACCTCTGATAGACAGATATAATAAAACATTACTAAATACAAACAATTATTCAAAAATGAAACTGTTGCTTCTAAAAATGTAGACTAAATTTCAAGCTAAAAATGCCATTGTGAAAAAGATCAACTCTTTTATTTTCTTTTTTTGGTTGACAACTTCAATTGAGATCTGAATGAAAAGCCAAGTGTTCAATATAAAGACTAGAATTTCAGGATGCTATGAATTGTGATGACAAAATATGACCTAAACCATGTTATCTAAGGTAAAATCCAGAATACAACAGAAAAATATCACTTTGGTCATCAAGAAATTAATGTCGCTTCATTTTGATGAAAAAACTCAAACAAATTATATGTCAAAACAAAACATTTATTAAATTAAAGTCTCCATTCTTATCAATGATGCTTTTCCATTTCACAATCAGGTAGTTAATGCCCTGATTAAAGAAATCACTTGGCTTTGAAGCAAAAAACATGTTGATGTCCTCTTTAACACCTTCCACATTTGCATATTTTTCCCCATTAAGATGGTGTTACAGCGAAGAAAAAAAGATGGTAATTTGATGGAATCTTGTGTGTCAAATGTGCCACATGTGGACATGCATTGTCATGGAGAAGAAGAACACCTTTCTTTCCAATTGATGGCTGAAGGGTGTTTCTGATGATGGGCTTGATTTAAATATTCCAGATAATTTCACACACTCACTAATATTTTGATTTCATCCAATTGAAATATCTTTCACTACTAACACAGAAAACAGTAGGTCAAACTATGTTCTCTCTCAAATGTAGTGTGAGCTCAGCCATTACTCTTATCTGTTTTATGAATTGTGATGACAAAATATGACCTAAACCATGTTATCTAAGGTAAAATCCACAATACAATAGAAAAATATCTATTTGGTCATCAAGAAATTAAGGTTTTGGGGTCGGAAGTGGTTTTTGTCTAGGACTGAGCCATTGTTTTTGGCATTTAATATTCGCATAGAAAACTCATTTTTCATCACCAGTAACAATTCTGTCCAAAAATGGTTCACGCGCATTATGCACCAGAAGATATGAAGCAACGTTTACACGTTGGAAACAACAATCATTGGAGAGTTTGTGAGGCACCAAAACACCTCATGGAGCTTTCCCATATTCCTTAGATGTTTAAGTATTGTTTCATGAGAGACATGCAACTTCAGGGCCATTTCACGAGTGTGTTGCTTTGGGTTAGACTAAACAAGCGTCTTCAGAACATCAATATTAATTCCAACATGTTGGCCCCTGCCATCACAGTTTTTAAGACTAAAGTCACCTGAACGAAATTTGCTGAACCATCGTTGACACTTACGAACATTCAAAACATTTCCATAAACTTATTTGATATTCTTGGTGGCTAAAGAGGCATTGTTTCCCTTCTTGTATTCAAACAGCATTACATGCTGAATGTGAGTCTCATCCTGTGCCATCACTATAAGGGATTAGAGTATACTAAATTTTACACATTATATAGGCTACACTAACGTGACATTTAGGTGGTTCATTTAACTATTATACACAATGTACAGTTTTTGAGGGTGGTTAATGAAAGTGTTCCAAAATGCGACATTAATTGCTCGATGACCCAATATATTCCATTTATTACAGAAATAAATTACCAAATTCTCTAGGCTCAAAATAATCCTTTTAAATACCTTGCACTTGAAATTTTAGCTATGACAAGGCACAACTGTTGTTGTTAAATAATTTCAATGACACCTTTGAATAAACTTGTATATAAAATGTGTGTTAGGTGATCTGGTATGAAAGCATCTAAATTTGAAACTGATATCCACAAATGATCATTTGAGACTACAGACTTTATAACCCAATAAATGATCAGAAAACATTTGATAATAAGGTGTATGATCACTTTGGACACTAATGCAAGTCATACAATGATGTTTAAAACAAGTGAATGAATCAGCTGCCGTGTAATTTGGCCCACTCCTCCATCAGAACTGCTTTTAGTTCAAACACTACTTGGAGGTAAATCACATGCCATAAAGCATTTTAGGTGTGGGGAGTACCATAACATGCTTATATGAATTTAAATCTGGTGAGTATGCTAGCTAGTCCATTTGCTTAATGCTCTCTTCTTTAACAAGATTGCTAATCTTTTGAGCCATGGTAGAGATGCACATTATCACCCATTAAAAAGTTCTGACAAATTGCACCTGAACATAGCAACACTAATGTGTGTAACAATGCATCACTTTACCTTACAGCATTCAAAATGCCATGCCAAAGCACATAAGGCTCAGTGTGGACACCATATCCTGTCCAGCCCAAATGACATCACTACTATATGCATGTCTTTATTCATGAAATTGAGGCTTCATATTGTCCTGGACTCTCTCTCCAAATGCATAAATGTGGTGAAGGGTTAGAACAAATATCATTGGTCCCTGGCATAAAGACCAATTTAATGAAGCTTTTTTTAATTGTTTGCATGTTGCCCTGTACTGTTTCATTCAGTTGTTTTTTCAGCACATCTTGTCAAATAATGTTCATTTTGTGAAGATATTGAAATTGCTCTATTCTTTCAAGGTGTATGGATAACTATACTGTTGATCTGAAAACATGTGCATATCCAGCTAACCACACTTCGTGAGACTTATAGCCACTCTGCAATGACTTAGTGTTTTTTGTTTTTTTTTGTTGTTGATGAATTTAGCACAAAGCTATAAGGAGCATCCTAAACATCAAACTGGCTTCTATATCTCCACATCATGGATATATTCAAATGTTTTTGCCAGAGTTCTGACATATTTCACATTCATTTTGTATCTCTCTACACATGCACACTGCTGATGATCAAACTACTAAATAAAAACATGTTTATTTCACGATCATGTACTACTGAAATGTGCATATCATATCAAATAGAAAACCAATTATATAACACTTGTTTTGCTTAAAACTAAACACAGTGTCACTAATATTATCTAATAACAACAGTTATGCCTTCACATCCATAAAAAAACTGGCACTTTCAACAGGTGGACCCATATTCATCAGGGGCAAAGGCAGACTGATGCGATAGAGAGTAAAAAATGGAATAAGTTGTAAAACTAGCAGAAAGTCTGTGTGTACCTAAGAAATATATCAGTTTAAGAGAAAAAACAACTTGATGTGTCATCAGACACATACTTCAATATGAAAGGTGAAGACAAGATTTGAAAAACCTAGAACAACTTACTAATTTCTATCAATGTTTTTGATAAGTTATATTTTGCAATCCACACAAAAACACAAATGGAAAATCAAAAATAAACTTTAGACGTGGTCAAGTGGAAGACAGTGTAAAAAAAAATATATTACACATATGTCATAAGATTTAAAAACAAAAACAGATAAAAATAAATAATTGTAAAAATTGAGAGTAAGCAAAGTATTAGAAAGATGTTATATAAGCTGTTTATCCCAGTTCTAGTGTTTTAGTATGCTTATTTATAAATGCTTCCATGAGTGCAAATTATCTTAATGTACAGAGTTTGACTCTAGGTAACTCTGTTTAGTGTGTGAGGGGTAATGAAGATAGTACGGTCTACTAAATCAGTTTGTATACTGTATACTAAAGTCAATGTGTAGAAGGCCATCTTTCTTGGAGACACAGTCATCAAAAAAACTGTGTGTGAGTGCATGTAAGGGGGATTGTCAAGTGTAATCTTAATAATAGTTCTGATGCAGAAGTTAAGATGTGAAAAGAAGTTTTGAGGTTCTTAAGGGAATATTTTTATCTCTTTTGATTTGAAGTTATTATGGGTGTTGGGCTGACTCCACAGCTTGGATGCTTCTATTTGTGGGAACTGTCCAACATGATATCTCTTTGAAAATGGGTGTAGGTAAGTGATCAGAAGAGGTATAGTTTGAAAAATGTTTTTGATTCTTAGTTTTTAAAATAATTTATGATGATCATAAAGAACTTTATGTTCATTAACAGAATTTTTTGTGGGGAAAAATTTTAAATTTTCGTTCAGAAGACTATTTTGGCATCATGATTGATCTAGTCATATTCAACTTTCCTAGAGTTATTAATAGGGTCGTTAAATTACAGTGTTTAGTGGGTATGACTGTTCAAGATGTTCAAAACTGAAGTAAAAGGTACAGTTGTAAGTGATGAGATATATTCATCAAAATCTTATTCTCCATCACAGATTAAGGTCCTTGGGAACAGTAATTTTCTGGGTGATAATTTTTTAACTTACTGTTATGTGATGATACATTACTTTTGGGGGGGGGGGGGAAAGGAGGTATCAGTTTTGTGTGTAAATTCATCAAGCATCTGTTGTTCTTCAGGATGGAGTTATAAAAATGAATAAATGAAAAAAAAAATTATTCCCAAGATCATAAAAATGTTATTTTTGCAATTTTAATTAATTGTAAGGAAGTGTTTTCAAGGCTTTGCTGCTGTTTATTAAAAACAAATATCTGTTATTTGATCCTAGTGTAATATTAGCTTTTTGTCTGAGAGATAAGGGTAGGTTATCAGTCTACATGTTATCATAAAGTGACTGCATACTGATGATATCATATGTGTTTTTAAGTTTTCCAAAGTTTCTCAATATATTTTCTGTTAGAGTATACCTTGAGTACTATCAGCAGAAGAACAGAAGTTTCACTGAAAGATACAAATGAAGTGGAGGTTGATTAGATTTGTTGCCTTCATTGACAACAGAGGACTGATGAGTAGACAATTCAGTCTGTATTTCTAATCTTGTCTTCAACTTTCACCTTTACCTTCATGTCTCATGACATTTACAGTGATCCACTCCCAGAACTAATACTTCACTCTAGCAAAAATCAAGAATCATCTGTACTAGTTAACACTCTGATGAATCCAATTTATACTGCTAGTTTTCTGAGAAAAAAAGTGTTAAACTAAGTCTTTGGAGTAACCAGCTGACTAAATTCATATGCACACATCTTGTAAACAAATACACAATATTTAATACAAAGTTAAAACAAGTACCCCTTAATTTCACTGTAGACTGCACTGTCAACAAAAGAAGAAGGTGCAAGTTGGCCAATAAACATTAGTCCTGCTCGGAAGACTTGTCCATTAACCAACCACAGCTCCAACACTGCAGGTAGACAGGCCCAGTAACCACCAAGAAATGGGACTGCACCAAATATGGCAGCTAAAACTGCAAAAACAATATATAGATTCTAGTAGAAAAATTTATAAAGTAAAATTAAAAAACAATTAAAATTAGTATAAATGTTTAATGACATTAATACCAATTAGCTGATGTTTTAATGTTTATTACTTTACACTTTTTCATTTTGATATCTTTTTGTAACAACTGCTAGTTGTTGAAAAGCATTTTATTAAGCATGACTTTAATCTGCTATAATTCCTATGCACTAAAAAAATCACTGCCATCTGCTACCCAATAAATTACAACATTGTTAATGTACTATTTTTTCAGGTTTCCTCATTACATCTAATACTCTAACTACAAAATATTTTGCTATAGAGTTTTTTACATAGTTCCTTATACAATAACAAGTGTTGGTATTATTACAACAGATGCAATATTAAAATTTAAATCCACTTGTATTCTATCATACTGATGTTTTTAATGTAAGTTTATTATATAAACATTATTTATTCACAAATGTATAATGTAATTATATTACTGCATTCCTTAATAAGATAAATAATTGCTGTTCACTTCCAGCAGGTCCATTTTTTGAAGTTTTACAGTACTCACATAAAAGAAGAAAAAATAATAAATTTCAATGTTTTGGATTTCTACTCTATACAATTAAAGTGGTGCTAAAACTATCAATAAGTAGAGGTTTCTTTAAAATTTGGTCTAGCTGACCTTTACAGCTTACCTGATGGAATATATATTATATTGACATCAAAGATGGTGTGAATCAACCAAGTATACAGGCCATAGAATGCAGCCATCTTGAAAGATGCAGCAAACACACCATTGATGGATTGTTCAACTACTTCTCCTACTTTGTTACCTGCTCCTCCGGAGGGAAGCATCATGCTGACCATCTCAACAGGCTTGTAAAGAGTACCACTTGCACAGAGCAAGTAAAACAAAGCTGTTGAAAATACAACCTAAAAAAAAACAGTATTGCTTACTTCAGGTAAATATGTAATGAGTGGGTCCACTCTAAAAATGCTTTTATTTACAATATTAAGTGTATTGTAAAATCCTATTTATACAGTATGCAATTAGAGAGATTGAAAATCTGATCCTCAGAATTTTAAATAGCAAAACACTGCATTATGTGCCCATCTGGTTTTGTCAAATGAAAAAAAAATACATTTCTGTTTCACAAGAGTTATTAGATATATAAACTTTTATTCAACACACTTTGTTAAATTAAATACTAAGCAACCATAATTATTATTTACAAAATAGATAAATAACATTGAGTTTTTCTTACACGCATACTGCTTTACCAGATACAGACAAGTTGTAGTTACTGCTTTTACAATTGAATTGGAAGTACTTTCATCTTTATATTTTATTTTATAGAGAAGAACAACCTAGAGCTTACCCTTCTGTCTAAAGCAAATTCTATCTTGTTCTTATACCTAACAAATGCATGAATTTACTAAACAAACAAAAGTTTTTATAGAAAGAATAACAAAACTGCAGTATATTAGCAATAACATTATCTTCAATAGTTAAAATGCTAAAACATTTTAAACATAAGAAAAATTCTAACAGAAAGAAATGTTTCTCAATCTCTCTCTCCAAGCTTTACTATCACTTTTAAGTATTGTTGTCAAATTAATAAAGTGTATTACGATTTAAGTTAGCTTTTCAAGTATTTTTCTCAGAAACCTGATATAAACTTACAAAATCCAGAAGGAAATTAAGAACAGCAGTTCCTCCTCCAAACAGTAAGGACAAGATTGCTGTCAAACTACTGAAGGCTAGACTGAGGTTACCAATCACTACAGTCCACACTGATTCTAGAACCTATATAGATAGAAATATCAGTCTTTATTTTTACGAATAACAGTGCATTTATACATGTCAAATAGAGTTACAACATTTATTTTTCAAAGTATTTTAAAGTTTTTGAATGTCCTTCTAAATATTTAGGAATAATTTAATATAGATAATCATCTCTACCATAATATTAAAGACAAGTATATGAAATCCTATAACCTGAGCATTTTTCAAAGGTAAACCTTTCATCTCAAGTGCAAATTGGGAACTGTAGTAGTTGTTTCAGTCCAATGACAAAATATACTTTCTTGTAAGCATAGAGAGTCTCACTATGTTTAATACATCTTTGTGCCACGCAACTGTGCCATGAACGTCTTTCTGGTAATTGATTTCAAACTCATATCTTTTACCCGAGCAGCTTCCAGTTGTGTGTTGGACCACATTAGTTCTTCATCATCACTTTGACCGCAGCATCTCAGATTTAACTTTGCTGCACTTCTGGTCTTTTTACCCTGTGCTTTCCTCTTCTCATAGTATTTAAACTCTTCATTAACACATAGTCTTTGGGATAATGTATTAGCATTTCCATGCTTTAGTCTAGGACTATAAGTGCAACACAAAAAACGAACACGTAATTTGCTACTATAACAAAGCATTAAGAGCCACAAAAAAAGATGTATTGTACGACTGTTGTTCAAGCCCTGAGTTACTTCTATCATTATCTACATTTACAAAAGTTTATGCTCCAGACAAATCATGCAACATTGAAATCGTTGGTGAATATTTTTGACCTGGAAGGACAAATAACATGATGGCTCCAAAAACTCCAGGAGTACAACTTTAACATCATACAATGCCCTAGGACAAAACTACTCTCACTGCAAAATCACTGGCATCTGTATCTATAATGAGTGGATCTTCTAGAATTGGGTATGCCAATACAAGAGTAGTAGTCAATTCCTTCTTCAGCTTCTTGAATGTTTCTTCACAATCAATAGTCCAACAAAATTTATTTGGCTTTTTGAGTAATTCTGTAAATGACAAGCTATGTCAGGGAGAGATTTTACAAAACAACAATAGTAAATGCACAGTCCAAGAAATCCTCTTACTTCATGAGAGTTCTGTGGTATTGTTCAATTCTGAACAGAGTCAATTTATGTATGTATGTCCCAGGAATCTCATCTGTTGAAGAAATAATTCATACTTCTTACAAATCAGCTTAAGGTTCTCTTTCCTCAACTGACCCAGAATCTTCCTTAAACCTTTCATAGGCATTATCAAATATCTTCCCATGTCCAATTACATCATCTAAATAGATGAGTATGATATTCCAGGGTAATTCAGACAAAGCATACTCTGCAATGCAATAAAGGCTGTTTTCTCTCTACTTGCATTTTCAATTTCAACTTGCCAATATCCACTTCTAATATCCAATGTTGAAAACCATTTAGATCCAGATAGAGTATTCAAAGTACAGTCAATTTACAGTGGATAGGCATCCTTCCTGGTAGCTTCATTCAAAGGTGTCTTCACATCATAGACCATTGGTCTCTCAATTAAGATTGGCCAGCTAAATTCTGGAACTTGATTTGGTAATGTCATGACTGGAGTAGGTCCTTCAGTAACAAATGGCACAGTGGTAGTGGTATAGACCAAACAAGTTCTCCTATTCCATATTTCATATAAACTGTGCTTTAGGTTGGGACTCTTGAGCCAATGCAGAAAAAAATGCAACTGGCTTCATCTATGCCTTTTATAATTCATTTTCCAGATATTTTATTTTGTCATAAAAGTTCTTTTCTGATTTCATAAGTTAGCATAAAAGTCATGAATTATGCATAACTTTCTTTCCCCTAGCCTTATATTATCTAATACAAATCTAAGCATTCTGCCTTTCAAAGTTATTTTACTCAACTCTAACATACAGTATGTTGGGTCACTTGTTATTCATGGTGTAATCATTGAATCAGTGTAAATGTTGTATTTAATATAATGTGAAACTGAGCATTTATCCTTTCACACTTATCCTGTTATTCAACTCCAGCATAAGTTATGCTCATTCAAGATTTAACATTGGTGTGATCATTGAATCTGTAAAAATCACAAAATTTAGAAAGTTGCTAAAGGATGTAAGTTTACTTATACTATCCTTACATACTCCAACACAAATCTAATTGTTTATAATATAGAATTAAAGAACAACAAGGGATCTTTTGGTCCATCTAGGTAATCCTATCAACTAAATTAAACACTAAAAAAACTCAAAGCCAGTCTTTATCAGTCAAATATCTATCAAGCTTGCTCTTAAACTCCATTAACTAAAACTAACAGTTGAAGGCAATCCATCTAAAGGCCAATCATCTTGTTAGACAAACAAAGTTGTTTTAGTTGAGGATGATGCTTAGTTTCATCCCTTAGTCTTATCATCCTCAACATTAAATATGAAAAAAGATGAAGCATCAACATTATCAATTCCTTTAACATTCTTATACACCTCAATCAGATTCCTTCCAACTCTTTTTTTTTTTTTAAGAGAAAACAAGTTAAAAGATTTTTGACCTATCTTTGTGTGGAAAACTTTCCATCCCAACAATACAATATACTTTGTAACGTAAGAAGCTCAAAGCTGAACATAGTACTCCAAATACAGCTTAACCAATGACATTATAACCTCTTTAGATTACTATTCAATATTCTGTACATACAATCAAAAATACTAGTTGTCCTGCCACTAGCAACAGCATGTTACTTGGATGGCTTAAGAGACTGATCAACCAAGATATTTTTCTTTCATAACACTGTTAAGATTATTTCCAAAATTGTACTCATAATTGACACTGTCATTACCTTGCATTTATTACAATTAAAGTAATTTGCCATTTACTTGCCCAACTCACCAAATAATCCAAATCCTTTTGTAAATCAGGAACATCCTCCTCAAGCCAGCAATGTCTAAAACTTTAATGACATCAGCAAATTTAAATAACCTATTGACCACTTCTTCATCTACATTATTGTTGTGAATCTAAAAGGGCAAAGGTTGTACAAACAAGCATTGAGATAGCCACTTGTGACATTAATCCAGTTTGATTGAACTCAATTTATAACAACCCTTTGCTTTTTGCCATCTAGCTAATTTTCTATCCAATCAGCCAACCTATCTCCCATATTTACAGAAATAACTTTAATAAGCAATAACATCTTCAAATAATATCAAAATATTATTAAGGCAAGATATTCCCCTGATGAAACCATGCTGATTGTCCAACAAATTTGAAACTATTAAATGGCTTTACAAAGCATGTTTTATCAGACTTTCAAAAACTTTTTCCACCACTGATGTAAGTCTAATAGGCCTATAATTATTGGAACCATTATTATCACCTCCCTTAAATAGAGGAGTAACACTAGCCAAATTCCCATTCAATGACTTAGAAAAAAAACAGTAGCAAGTAGCTCATATATCCAATCTTAAATCTATTTCAAAACCTTAGGCAAATATTATTTGACCCAGAAGCTTTATCATTCTTTTAAACTTCCAATTTTTCTAAAGAAGTTCAGAATTAATATTTCACGTTGTTCAATCTTGTATCTATTTAATAACTGTTCAGGATGAGGAATATTGCTTAAATCTTCATTAGTAAAAACTGAAGAAAAAGTAAAATTTAATAATCCAAACATCCCATAATCATCAGATATTAGCCTTCTTGTATCATCCCTCAAAGAACCCAATCCCACCCTAACATTTTGCTTACTATTAATTTTTACAATTTCAATCAACCTTTTTTTTATAATCTTTTTATGATTTACTAATTTCCCATTTGACTAACTCTATTGACCTTCTATAATCCACCAAGGCTCCCATCATTGCAGGCAATTTAATTTTCTTATATTTATGATATTTTCCTTTAGTTTTATCCTTTATATCTTTTGTGAACCAACCTGGCTTTTTTTTACTTGCAGCCACCATTTTTGTCTATAATGAATATGCTTATCTTGAATATAAAGTAATTTATTTTAAAAATAAAAAAAACATTTTCCACATTTGATTTTTTAATATCTCCAACTAAATCAATTGCCCAATGTTCAGCAGATAATTCTTGTCTTATCAGTTCAAAATTTGTGTTTTTAAAATATGGGACCAAAATCTTTATTCTTTATCTCCATATGCAGTGAGACATCAAATCTAACTGAGCAATGGCTACTTGCACCCAGATGTTCCCAGACTTTACCTATCAACCATTTCTTTATCATAAGTTAACAATAAATCTAAAATAGCATTGTTCCCAGTAGATTCCCTAACCAACTATTAAAGAGGAACATCCTATAAAGTTTCTAAAAATCTGTCTCTCTCATGACTTGACACTAACATTTCCCAATCTATATGCCAAAAATTAAAATTTCCCATACTTATAACCTCATAAACAGCTGAATTCTTTATCTTACTGTAGAGTTTCTCAATAATTTCATCAATTTCATTTGGTAGTCTGTAACAAATTCCAACTAGTCTAATTTTTGAAGTATAATATGCATTTTTTTCACTAAAATTTTATCTGAAAGTTAGGGTGTGTGTATAATATATGGTAACAAATCTAAATGTTCTTTTTTACAGTCAGACCAGACCATCTTTTCTGACATGCATTGTGAATGAAAATGTATACTCACTAGAAATGTTGCATTTTTATGGTATGTCTTATCAAATCTCCCTCTTTCTAAGGCATAAATGAAAATTGTCTCCCATTTTAATTCATTTTCAGTATCTTTAAACATGATTTTTGAAATAAAATTATCAAGAAGCTAAGTCTTGTAAATTTTAAGATTCATTTACATGCACACTCTTAGAAATGTTTGGAAATACAAAACTAGTTATCACTATGTTATGTTTAATATTAGAAACTACAAATTGTATTCAATGAAACCTTCAAATGCTGAGTCCAAATCACTGTCCTCAAATAGTTGTCACTACTTCTCTACCATTTGTCAATGGGTTTGGGGGGAATATTTATTTGCCAGCTGCCATTTCAAAA